TTTCCTTCCTTATTGATGACGATATCGTCGTATCAAATAGCCGCGAGATTGCTAACATTCTAGCTGTTGAATTCTAACAACAGTCTTGTGACGTCAACTACGATATTAACTTTTTAATTGAAGACGACGATGAAAATTTATTAAAAATCGATATAACCATGGATGAACTCGAAGAGGCATTGTCTAAAGTGGAAGGCCATACACCGGGGCCTGATGACATCCCGTATATATTCATCACGAAACTGCCACAATCCGGCAAACTCCATCTCCTAGGGATTTATAACACTTTATACCGCACCAGACAACTTCCCATATCTTGGTCTAATTCTATTGTACTGCCTCTTCTGAAACAGAATGAATCTCCATCTGATCCCGACTCATATAGACCTATTTCCCTTATCTCCACCATGTGTAAGGTATCGGAGAAGATTTTGAACTCTAGACTACAGTTTTTTCTCGAGCAGCATAACCTGATAATTCCTCAACAAAGAGGATTTCGCAAAAACCGCTCAGCAACAGACAATTTGGTTATCCTACAGTCAGCCATACACGAGTCCTTCGCAAATCGACACAAGGTTACATCTATCTTTTTCGATATTCATCGAGCATTCAATTCAGTTTGGAATCGCAACGTATTGGAACAGATGAAAAAGTGGCATATTCAAGGAAATCTACTTGCTTTTATAATTTTTTTTTGAAAAAATAGATCCTTTTCTGTGAGAGCTGATGGCATAGACTCTGAGAAAAAGTACCTCAAAAATGGATCCCCTCAGGGATCATCACTCAGCGACACCCTCTTTCTCATAGCCATCAACGACTTCTTGAAGAATATCGAATCCTCAGTCAAAGGGCTGCTATACGCGGATGACCTAGTCCTATTTGTCAGTGGCAGAAATATAAACACATTGGAGACTTCTTCAGGAGGTGATATCAAGTCTGGAATTATGGTCCCTCAATACAGGTTTCCAATTTTCACCAGCGAAGTCCAAATGCCTTCTATTTTCTAAACAGCAAGCAATTAACTTCCCAAACTTTACGCTCAATGGACAGCAGTTAGAATTCGTTGAGGAAACAAAGTTTCTTGGGATGACGTTTGACTACAAACTGAATTGGAACGCCCATATTCGCAATGTCAAGAAATCTTGTCAAAATGGTTTGAACCTAATGAAGGTTTCATCAAATCACACCTGGGGAGCGGACTGCAAAACATTATTAACCATCTATCGGGCGCTAATAAGATCTAAAATAGACTATGGATGTATTGCCTACTCTACTGCAAATAAGCCAGCTCTTAAACAGCTGGATATCATTCAACATGCCGCCATTAGGATAGCCTTAGGAGCATACCGTAGTAGTCCAGTGGAAAGTTTACTTATCGAAGGAGGAGAACAGCCTCTCGATCTTCGCCGTGAATACACGACCATGACGTATGCTGCAAGAATTTCTGATAATATAAACAACCCCGTCTATCACTATACCTTCAGTAACAGATTTCCCCTTCTGTTCAATCAAAGTAATGAAGGTGCTTCACCACTCTACGCAAAAATGTCAAAAATTCCTAATAATCCTGTAGTCCCTAATAATTTCATGTCACTCAGTTTCTGCTCACCATGGACCGTAAAGATCCCATCCTGTAACACCCAACTCTCCACCCACAGGAAAAATGATATAACACCAAGTTTTATCCAAAAAACTTTCTACGAAATAATCTCCAACTACAAGGAATACAATAACTTATACACAGATGCTTCGAAATCTTCTAATTGTGTGGGAGCAGACGTCATTACAAAATGCTTGCCTACCGTCTGCCGTCAATCTGTAGTGTATACAGGTGAATTATACGCCATAGATCAAGCCGTAGCAGACTGTGAAAGACTGGAAGGGAACTCTGTTATTATCACCGATTCTCTCAGCGCAATTCATGGAATCAGACAGTTATACCCAAACAATTCACTACTTGTCCGTATAAAAGAAAGGATATCCAAGCTGATGCAGAATCAAAAATGGATTAAACTAATCTGGATACCTTCTCATACTGGAATCAGAGGCAATGAGAAAGCCGATGTAGTCGCTCGCAATGTTACAGTTACTCCTTCCGCAACACTGTTTGAACAAATTTCCCACTGAGATTACTTTAATTCCACAAATAAACTAATAGCAAACACTGGAGAAAAAGATGGATGGCCATGGAATCAAATAAATTACGTGAGATAAATCCCGACATGCACTTCCAGAACTACCAATCGGCCCAACGAAGACATCAAGTCATCCTTACTCGTCTCAGAATCGCTCACACAAGACTAACACACCAACACCTTATGAAGAAAGAATATGCTGCGGAGTGTGATATTTGTGGTGTAATCAACAATGTGAAACACATTACCTTTGAGTGCCCAGTTTTTGAATATGAAAGACAAGAAGCAAGACTTCCCAGTGATCTCAATTCTGCCCTAGACGTGATGAACTTGAACTTTTCAGTAACCTTTTTCAAATCTATTCATTTATTACATAAAATATAATTATTCCTAATTTTTCCTCCGGTTCGCGGTTGATGCGGTTATTTTTGAAAAAAAAACACTCAGTATTCAGAATTCCATCTTTTAATATTCCAAGTTCATCGACATCGAAATTGATCCCATCACAGGATACAGAAATATAAAACAATCTCCATATACACAAACTTTTACAAAAACAAAATTTTACCTCAGAACAGTGACTGGATCAAAGTTGCAATGTCAGCGTATAAATCTTCATAAATATTGAGGGAGGTCAAGATCATGTACAGTTCAGATCTTCATTTCAGTATCTATTGATCATCAGCAATGTAGCACATCTCCTTCTCTTCATTCCTGCTGGGTGGCAGTATAATGTAAGTTTTTGGTGTTTTAATGTATTTTTTCATCAACATTTGAGTGTAAGTTTATTTTTTCCGTTTCTTCACAATAAATATTCGAATAAGTTTTCAAATGAGTCCTTTCATTATTTAAATGAATGAATGAATGGGTGAAACAGCGAATAAAATCCTCTCTTTAATAGCCAAGCGAGTACTGAGTTGCGACACGTGGTGGAGGCGCAGGGCATCGATGCCGGTCTATTTTGTAACACATGTATTTTTTCTAATTTTGCTACTTTTTTATAATCATTAGAGTGAGTTGTCATATTGATTGACGTTGAATTTCCCATTTTTGTTTTTCATTTGCTGTTTTCATTGTAATAATTTTCAATTCAGTATACGTGATATTTAGTTGACATAACTGCATGAACAAATAGATATAGAATCCATCTCAGCAAATATGCATGTGCTCCAAATGGAATCCTTCACGAATATAATCTATTACATCTCCCTTATAAAAATCGTCCCTGCCTACTATTTTTGCTAACATAACACAAACTTATTGTTTGTACATTTGACACACAAGCTATTGCCTAATTTTTTCATGAAACCGAAAACTTTGACATCGAAAGCTGGTTAACGAAAAAACAGACTGAACGCCAGCATGGAAAAATCCTTATCTTTTACACACAGTATAAATATGAACTCTTATCGGTTGGTTTATGACNACCAAATGAACTTAATATGATCAATGGCAGGTACCTGTATAGCATAAAATACAGAGAGTTCGCATGAAAGCCCGAATGTATTTGTCATTTTACAACTGTTTCATATTTACCTTTCATTTCAAGTTTCCATTTAATTCATATATTCTTTCATTTCTTGACCTGGTTTTTGAGAGGATCATATTAATTCATAATCTGAATGAAAATAGAACAACTATTATAGTAGTGAAACGTCAACTTTAATCTAGTTTTAGGAAATGTATATCACATGAGGTGACAATTAGATAAGCAGGTGACAAATAGTGTAAGCAATCAATAAAAATTGTAAAAAAGAAATTAATGTTGAATTGGGTGTCATAAGGAACCAATGATCTTTGAAATTATGCTCAAGCATACAATAAAAAGTATGCTCCATAGTTGTAAAAGAAAGTGTCTATTGTCAAATTAGGTTTAATGTGTATTATATGTACTTTAACCAATTAGTTTAAACTGTCAATTGATTGTTAACTATATAATGCAGTGATTTTTGTTGATTTTCTTTATTCTCGAATTTATTAGTACTACAACCTAGCTATAAGAATAGAACTATATCATGAAAGATTTTACTGCCAAATTTCTCTCTTGTTTCATGCAATCGACGCAACACCACATCCCAAGGCACTATGAGGCAGTCACTAATCCACTACTCCATCACCCCTGTTACGGTTTTCCACTCCATGGCATTAAAAAGATCATACCACAGGCAGCCTAGGGAAACATGAAGTTGAATCATCATGGTCAAATGAATGAACTCTAGGAATATCGCAGTCACTAGTGCCATATTCAACCAGAAACAAATACTTACGTTATTGCGTTAACAGTTGTTCTGAGTACCTGATAAACAGTTCCTGTATCGGCAGACATCATCTATAGACATAATAATATGTGAATAGAATCGTAATACTCAAAACAATTCAGAATCACCGTCATACCGTTGAGTACTAGGTTAATCCAAATCCTAAGCAGCCTACAGAAAATAGCCAAGCGAGTACTGAGTTGCGACAAAATCACTAGACCTCATTTCCATTTGGTATCTTGTTCGAAATCTAAGAAGGGAGGGCCCATTTACGCCCGCACATTTGAGATATAAACAATTTTCAAATATTTCTTTCAAAAAGGTAGAAGGCCATATGATTCAAAATGCTATATTATAGTAAAATTAAGTAAATTGAGTAAAATTCAGTTAGTACGAACATGCCTGAGGAAACTATTGCATAGCGAAACACGAATATTCGAATAAGAAATATCGAGTTACAATTAGTATCAGATCATGCAGTCATATATATTTGAAGACTCGAAGTAATTGCATAATTTCAGCATCACTATTCTTGATTTTTTCTGACTGTAGCTAAATAATTCTATTTCAGATTTCCATTGAAAATTTGAATTTAACCAGTACTCACCAATAATAGGTGCTTTGAACCTCGCTCCGAAGGAAAATACGAGGGGATGCAAACTCTCCACAAGGATCAAGTCAAATTCCTCATCAGAATGTATCAGATCTTGCACTGCACCGTATTCCAGTATCGCGTGCATAACCGAAAACATCATATTGTGTATAGTTATGAAATTCTTGACCAGAAAATTTTCTTTAGCAGCATTCTTCTGAAGATCAAATTTTCCTAGTATGTCGTAGGCGAAACTTACGTCAATTTCAGTAAGGTTCGTCAAGCTAGAATCATTAAGGATATTGGGGGATATCACGGTCACATTGTGTCCTCTGATGGATAGTTCTCTCCATATGGGCCTGTACGCGATTTGATGACTAATCGAAGGAACAAAAAATATCCCTAAGATTTTGGCACTATCACTCTCTAAAATCAACCCGAAACATAGAAGCGCTAAATTGATCAACTTGAGTAGCCACATTCTTCAAGAGCTTGGCAATTCTAGCTGTGCCTCTGAATATTGGATGCGTAGTGGATCATCTGGCGGAGTGGGGTGAGAGCTCATTAACATTGATGAACTTCTTTATCGAACATTGTGTTAGTACAGTAAGTGGAGAAGATATTCTGTGTGGTGAACTGTCAGTTATACAGTGTGTGAAAGCCAAATGGAATGAATTATTTCGGTAACGGTACATATTTCAAAAAAATCCGGAAACACGTCAAATTCACGGAGATAAAACCTGAAAACAACAGGAAATAGGTCGCCTTTTTCATGACAAATTCCCTAATTTACCGCCCATATCTCAAGGAACAATAAGCAAAATAGAGAAGCAGGTTCGCGATCTTGGTCATGTAGGGCAGATAGAAACAGCAGCTGGCAATGCAGCGAGTGATGAACTCAAATTAGATTTGATGCTTGAGTTTGAGAAAAACCCACATACATCGAGTAGACAGGCATCCACTACATTCAATGTTAGCCATACATCGATAGTAAACATATTGTGAACTACAATCATACATGTTTCGATTGTGCCATTCAATATATTCGAATATTCAACTCATTCTAAGATAAATATGTCTCAATAGCAGTGTCCTCAAATGAGAACACTGGGCAAATCTCACATGATTGGATGAATGCATATTTTTTTCAGATCATTCAGAGAATGAATCAAAGCCGAATTCCATTCAAGAATTTAAAAGATGCTATCGCATATTTGGAATCGGAGGAAATCGAAGCTGATATTCTCGCTTTACCTCTCAACGTAGATGAGCTCACGGATGAAGAATTTTTTGACGATAAAGATCTCGGAGACCCTGTTTTATCTGATGTAGCAGGCACCATAGAAATACACATTTCAACAGATGACGATGACGCCGGAAGAATTATTTCTCCAGCTTCTATGAAAGACGACGATAATATACCTTTTTCAATACTGCGCAAACGCTTCTCTATCGAGAACAATAAAATACCTCAATCCGCTCCTGCTGCTTGCTGGAAAGAAACCGAGCCTGTTCATGAAACTTGGCAGAAGAGAAATTTGGCAAGTCGAAAATTGGACGAAATGAAGGTGGTGTTGGCGAATAAAACACCGGTCAACATTTTTGAAACAATATTTTCATCTGAGGTTCTGGAGCTCATCGTGGATGAGAAAAATCGGTATGCTATGTCTGTGAAAAATAAACAAGGATTCAGAGTTTCTGTGGATGAAATAAAAATATTTTTGGGTTTTCTAATATTTTCTGGTTACCATACATTACCATCCGAATGTTAATATTGGTCTGAAGCTGATGACCTGGGAAAGAAACTAGTGAAAGATGCTATGAGTAGAAATGCTTATTTACAACTCAAGTCTCTGATTCACTTCCAAGACAACTCCAAAGCAGAACACAATAAAGGTGATGGAGGATTCAAAATAAGACCCCTTCTAGATATCGTAAACTGCAAATTCCGTCAGTATAGTGTGTTTGAGGAACATTTGTCAATTGATGAAATGATAATACTAAGGGCGTCACTCCTTGAAACAATTCATGAAGGGTAAGCCAATACGTTTTGGCTATAAGTTTTGTGCCTTATGTGGTATCATGGAATATTGTTTCAATTTCGATCTTCATTGTGGAAAAGTAGCAACACAGAACGATAAAAATAAAACATTGGTAAGCACTGTTGTTGAAAATATTTTGTCAGTTGTGGATGATCCGACAAGCCATATTGTATACTTTGGGAAATAAAATTCAGAGCTACATGAACAGTGAGAGATAACCGCATGAAGAAGTGTCCATTGAAAGAAGTGAAACAGCTACGAAAACAAGATCGTTGAACTTATGATTATCAGTAAGATACAACTAATCAAGTGACTTTTGTTCGATGGAATGATAAAAAAATGTGTCTCTGTTGGAACTAATTTTGATACAATACTTCCTATCGTGAATGTCTCAAGATGGAATCGACTAAGAAAAGAAAGAATACCTACTCCTCAACCAGCAATGATAAGCAACTATGATAAATATATGGGTGGCGTAGATCACCATGATTGAATGCTTGAAAAGCATTCAATAGCAATTCGAGGTAAAAAATGGTATTGGTGCTTGTTCACTCGAATCGTTGACATGGCAGTTGTGAATTCATATACCTTATATATACTCACTCATGGTATGGGTTCCATCTCTATCAAAGATTTCAGGAAGAACATTGCAACAACTTATTTGAAATTGGGTCATGGAAACCGTATTCAACTAGGTAGACCGAGCAGCCTATTGTTGACATCGAGGCCCAAAGTATTTGATGATATACGTTTCGATAGGGTGGGGCACATTATTGAAAATCGCGAAAAACAGCAGAGATGTCAATTAATTTCCTGCCAGAGTAAACCACGCACTTTCTGCCAAAAATGTAATATCACATTGTGCATATCTTGTTTTAGCCGATACCATGACAAAAATTATTATTTATAAACAATCACTGAGATCTTCATTTTATCTGTCTGAAATCTTCATTTTGTTTTTTAATTTTTTTATTTCTTCAATTTGGACGTTTGACTCATTTTGTGCTTTCCTATATTATCATGAATGAATAATATCTTGTTGCACTGCAAATTTTTATCGTTAATGTCGCCTATGCACAGTGTTCTCTTTTAATGACAGATATTTTTTCGGTAACTATCAGATTTCAATGAAATCCACAGCTATATTGTGCAACTAGGGACTATAAACTTTCATAATCGAATTGGTTTCGGTTTAATTAGAAAAAAATTATAATTTGGGCGTTAATGGGTTAATGTCCAGCAATACGTCGATACAACATTTGCCAATCGGTGGATAGGGAGGCGAGGATCTATTGAATGGCCAGAGCAATCACCTGATTTTTCATCATTAGGTGTATTTTTATGGGGATATAAAGAGTACAAAACTGAACCTTCATATTTGAATGACTTATAATAACGAATAACGCTTGCGATTCGGTCAGACATGCCTGATATGTTAAATAATGTTAGAAGACAGTTTTATTTGAGATTAGGATGTTGCCAAGACATTCGCGGTGAACATTTTGAACATCCACTTTGTTAACATCCTTATTTTTTTTGTATTCTATATTTCATAACATTTTGCATTACATTTCAGTTTTTAGTGTATTTTATTTAATTTCAGTAACCACATGATTTTAATTTATTTCATCGTAATTGTTCCAATAAACTTGAAAGCGATAACATTTTTGAATATAGAATGAAGAGACCTTGGGGGTTGTACCTGTCATTCGAAGGGGGTTGTAGGTGGGGGTGGCATTTTATGTCAAATCATAATTTACATTTGACGTGTTTCGGGATTTTTTTCAAATTTGTGCATCTGCAATTGCAGATGGAATAAGAATTTCTCTTGCGAAGGTAAGAAGGTGCGAAGAAAAATCAAATCAACGATGAAAAAAATAGTAAGTGTTGATAAAAAAACCCTTTTAATTCCAAATGAAAACAGATGTATTTGAAATTTCAAAATTGTCATGGATGATGCTGATTTGGCAATTTTATGCTCAAATTAATTTCCATATCAAAGTGAAACGAGTTCATAAAACCCTAATCCGATATATTGAATATTGGGGAAGCAGGGAGTCTTTGAGTAACATATAAATATTGAAGGAACGCCAGCCTATTGAACTATTTGGGATAAAATTCTTAAAGAGAATGCGGACCTATAGAGAAGAATGTAGACCTATTATTTATATAGATGGAACAAATATTCACGATACCGGATGTTCAATCGTGTATTCAATCGAGTACATTATATAATTCAGAGTCCATTTAAATCTTATAATAGACAATCACTTTGAGATGAAAGTATACAAAATAGACAATTTCCATTTCCAATCAAAATTTTGTAAGAAGTAATACTCTCCAAATCAACATTTCTTTCTCAACATTTCATTTTTTCATTTCTTCTTTAAACATTGCTTGTGTTATCCTTATACAATAAACTCTTGTTTATTGGGTAAGTTTGAAAATGTCCGTACAGGACGAAACTGCAGTAACGTTAATTACAAATAAAAGTGGTAAAAACATAGAAAGTTTAATTTCTCTTTTCTTCATTATGATTCTCTACCACGTAGTAACGGCTACATCCATCAATTTCTTTCATTAAACGCTTCCTGTCTACAAATATAAATAAAATAAAGTGTGTGTAAGATATCATTGAAACTCTTCATTGTTCAAAAGACCTATTGGTGTATTCTGTACGGGTGTTGGCACAAGCTGTGAAACAAAATTCGCCAAGTTGTGGTATGCGAAAGGTTAAGTTTTTATGAGCGACTCGAAATCGACTGCCTTGGATTCTCCTGGACACTCTCACAGACAGCGGCGATATTTTTGGAATAAATTTCGAGATAAATTGATATCAAGTGAAATACTTTCTACCATTATGGCCCATAAATTGAAAATCTGAATAAATGACGAGCGACAGGTTTCGATTCTCACTTCATCGACTAACATGCGTACAAAGTGGGTCAATCTAATTTCTCGACAAAACAAAGGCGAACCGGTTTGAACACCAAGATTTAAATGCTTTTTTGTATTACTTTTGTATAATACAAAGGCACAGTAATCCCACTTCGGGTGATTTTTGGTTTGAATTTTCTACACGCAGGCCCAGGAGTTGCAGTCTCAGGTCTGCGCAAACGACGAGTTCAAGACAGGCACGCAACCCTTCCATAGTTGTCAAATTTCATGGGTTTCACCCAACCTACTACACAATGGGAAATTTTCCTCAATTTGGGTTATTACAGCAAATGCAAGTTTGAACAAAATGAAGTTGAGTTCAATTCATGGGTTTTTCAAATTCACTTCGAAAAGTATTCAAATTGATGTTTCAAATGTTGGGTTTTAATTTTTAAAGGGATCGCAACAGCAAGTTGAAATAATTTATACGTAGGTACCTAGATACTGTTCTTCAGAAAAGGAAACTTATCTTCATAAATCAAGAATTAAGGCAAAATATAAATTATAGTTTAATAGCACCTCTACAAACCACATGAACAACAGTTGTTTTGTTATTTATTTATATAGAGGAAGATAGGTTAGGTGCACAAAATGTCATATGTCACAGAATGTCTCGGAACTCGGAACATAAGTAAACAGAACAGTACGCCTATATGCTATATTTGGCCCCAAAAATCACTACAAAGAAATTTCGTATGGATTCGTACCATGGTTCATGAATAACAAAACTCGTTCTTCATCTTGCCTTTTTTCTAGTTGAAATGAAAATATATTTTGTCACATCCGAATATGAACATCTGCCGATCCCATGAATTTTTAAAATCTACTCGAAACATAGTTCATCATTGTCTAAATGATCTGGGTTACTTGAATATTACACAAATGCAAAATTATCATTTGTACAATTTTCTCAGGTGCTCAACATGGTTTTCATCGACTGTATTTTTTTGAGCAGTTTATATGAATAGTTGTTATGTTGAGCGGTGCTTAGACGCTTTGGTTGAGATTGTAGTAGGGAGAAATGTCATTAGTGTCAAATACGTCAACATTGTAAAAACTGAAACTCCTGGACACCAACATCAAAGAGACCGACGCTAAGTGGGACTACTGTATATAAGTATACTGTGACAATGATATCACAAAACATTTCACCCCATCTATGTTATTCAAAATAAACTCGGTCAACAAAGTTCTGCTATTATTCACTAGATGGTGTCTTCGTCAGAATTCAAAATATAAAATAACAATAAATAGTTAGCTTATCAGTGATCGTTTATCGTTTTTTCCTAGATAAACACTTAGATATTAGTTGAGCACATGCTGAGGAGAAGTGTTGCTTCAATGAAAATCGCTGTAGAATAGGTGAGTATAGGTTGGTTGCCTATCTCTCAGGAATAATAAACCACATATAAATTGTATATATGATTGAATTTGAAAATTAAAAGAACTTCTGTTACGATATAATGTAACACATAATGTATTATTACGCTTTCAAAGTGACCTAATTCTGACCAATCAATTTTATCCAGTAATTCATCAGGAAAAGGAAAATTTGTTGCATTGAAATAATGAGTTCCTCCAGGCAGATGATGATCATTTTTGAAATTATTATTTTTTATTTCAAATTCCACAACTAACGCTGGATATCATTTATCAATTTGAAATTATGTTATTATTTCATTTAACACTGAGACTTCAGTACTACTCAATATCAAATTGAGTTTTGTTAAAAATAATTACTTCAGCTCAAAGGAGAGTGCAAATGGATTTGAATGAATGAATGAATGACTAGAATTTGATTTCGCAAACATGAAATTTGTACCCCTATGGCTGATTCACGATCATACATGGAGTCCGTAATTCATAACACATTCATTAGATTTACCTTTTCCTCTGATTCATGAATGTACTTGCATCATCGCCCAGTTCGTTAATATGGCACCTGATCCTTATTCAACCGCCAGACCAAATGAGAATTAATATCATGGGTTGAACTACAATTGTGTAACGCCTTGTCTGCACCATGCATCCCCTAATGTTTTTATATTTGCCCTAGACTAGAATAGTTGAGTCATTTGCATGGTCCAGTACTTTATATTCACAGTTGTTCACAGTTGGTGCCTGAGGGAGCAGATAAACTGTGTTAATCCCGTTCACCAAGAGAAGGAAATTGGACGATCTAACGCCACTTTCCCTCGATGGTGTGGTCATTCCATTTGGAACGAAGGTGAAATATCTTGGCATTGTCCTTGATAAAAGACTCACCTGGAACGCTCACTTGGAAAAAGTTTCACACAGAGTCAGATTGTCTCTATGGACATGTCGAAAGATTTGTGGTAAAACTTGGGGTTTAGATCCCAAACAAATCCATTGGATTTATGTGATGATTGTCAGATCAATGAACACGTATGGTTCAATTGCTTGGTGGCCGAAGGCTTTACATAAACCGGCCCAAGCTAAACTCTCTGGCTTACAGAGACAGGCTTGTCTGGCTATCAGTGGTACCATCAGTACCACACCGTCAGCGGCCATGGAAATCCTTCTAGATCTACCTTCTCTCCACATTTTTCTGGAAGGAAATGCTAGATGGACTGCATACAGACTTGTGCACATTGCCAATTGCACAGATCAATTCAATGCAGAGTGCAACAGACTGTTGGTTGACATTGGAAGTCACAGCATTCTGGAAATGACCTCTGACTTTATGCCTCCAACTGTCAACTACGAACTGCCTTATAAAGTACTATTCCCGAGTAGAGAGGACTGGATCCTGCGGTCGAAGGAAATATTAATAGCAGATAGTTGTTGGTTCACAGATGGATCAAAAACACCTTCCGGTTCTGGTGCAGGTGTTTTCAGTTGCAGACCCAGGACAGAGTTATCTACCTGCCTAGGAACTTATGCGACTTTATTTCAAGCGGAAATTTACGCTATTGAATGGTGTTGCGGAGAGATTGGATAAATCCAACCTCACTCGCAAGTCAATAAAAATATTCTCGGACAGTCAAGCGGCGTTGGAAGCTCTTGGCTTCCACCGAGCAATGTCTAAATTGGTAGCAAACTGCCAAAAAATACTCTCCTCGATAGGAAGACTAAACAGTTTGTCTCTGGTCTGGATTCCTGGCCATACTGGCCTGGAAGGCAATGAAGCTGCTGACTCTCTTGCAAAGGAGGGTGCTGCAAGCGGCTTCATTGAACCAGAACCTGGCATTGGCATCGCTTTGGGCTTTGCCAAACAAACACTTAACACCTGGATGGCAAGACGAGTTATGGATTTCTGGCAGAATCTTCTTGGAATGGCTCACTCCAAGGCGTTTATTCACCCTTCGAAGCTTGATTCCAAACAGTTCTTGGACTACAGTAGGGATGAACTACGATGTCTAACAAGCCTTCTTACAGGTCACTGTCATTTGAATCATCACATGCAGAGACTTGGGCTGTCGGAAGACAGTGTGTGTCGCCTCTGTCTGGAAAATGATAAAACTGCAGAGCATATACTTTGTGCCTGCCCCGCTGGGGACCGAATCAGGTTCTTTGAGTTCGGCAGATCCGTACTCTCACCATCTGACCTAAAAGACCACTCACCATACAAACTAATCGACTTCGTTGAGAAGCTGGGTTTATTTGGGCGAGTGTGAATAGGTGTGAGCCACAATGAACCCTTATGGGTTGCGGTGGAGTGTCGAATAGATCCACTCTCTTTAGACCTACCTACTTTATATTCATTTCGGTTCCGATGACATTATAGCTTATCTATTCCATGAAACATCCAATTTTGTTACTTTAGATAATGCATGACAAATTCAAAAATGTGTTCGTCAAGAACACCCAGTAGAATTCACAATATGTGTACTATTGTTGGTCTCGCTGGGGACCGAATTAGGTTTTCAGAGTTCGGTAGAGCCGTACTCTTACAATCTGACCTAAAAGATCACTCACCATACAAACTAATCGGCTTCGTTCGAAGCTGGGTTTATTTGATCGGGTGTGAATAGGTGTGAGCTACAATGAACCCTTGCGGATTGCGGTGGAGGGTGGAATAGACCAATTCACGTTGGAGCTAACCTAACTATTGTTGGCTACTATTGAATAGCTTCAATTCACGTTGGATTTGAATCGCCGGAGATCAAATTCATTTGGAAAAACGTTCTCAGGAAGTTCATTCCACCTGAACGCCGAGATGTATTGAGTTGAACCCCAAAACCATGAGCCGCCACAGTCCGTCCCGTATTTCTGATATGTACCGCTCTCGGTGGCATCAAATGTGTCAAGTCACTGGAATACCTCCCGTGGAAGTGTCTATAAAAGAGAAACAAATCTCTAAAATTTTTTTGATGTTTCAGACTATCAAGGTGGTAAGTGATGTTCTTGTCTCCAATCGGGCAGATGGCTCTTTTCTGGATGGAATCCAGCAGCTTCAGGATATTCTAAGGGGTGGAGCTCCATACATGAGAACAATACTCCAAAGAAGGTCTGATATGAGTTTTATGAAGCATCAAAAGTTGCTGAGGTGTGTACAGTTTTCTAGTTCGGAACAGTGTTCCAAGCTTACGAAAAGCAGCCTTTGCAATTATAGACACATGATTGTGCCAAGACATGTTGGTGTCCATTTCAACCTCCAACAAACTTATCAAAGCAGAAAGCGGAATCGTGTGTTCTGACATTATTATATCCAGTTCGGACACTTTTATCTTTTTGGAAAAAACCGATGCCTGGGTTTTCTTGGCATTGAATTGAACCTGGTTACTTTCACCCCAATTCGAAATCACCTCTAGATCTTCATTAAAATATGTAACCTCCTGCTGCCTGTGAAGATGTGCATCTGCAGCCGATGTCATGGAATCCAACTGAAATAACGAGACAATTTTCCTGTCGTCATCAAAGTAATATATTGGATTCTCGGTTTTTTCCATTAAGTCATTGATGTACAATAGAAGGAGGGTTGGGGATGATAAGGATCCCTGGGGAACACCAGCATTGATGGTAAAAATTTTCAGGAGGTTTTCATCGCACTCAGTCGGATTTCTCTGAAAAATCCATAAACAGTTTTGTGAGAATATATATAATCTTCACGAAGGGTTAGTCCATTAGATCCTAGGCCGCTACTGGGAGGATATTTATGTTGTCTTCCTCTGTAGGACTGTTCAGCAACATTCGCTCTATTAGGTAGCGAAGTGTCAGTGAAAAGTACCAAATGTTGTCTCTAATGGTACTTTATCCATTCGATTTTTCAATCTGGAGGTTCAGCCAATATCATTTTCAACTCGCTTTGATTATCTATCTGAATTTTTTTCATCACTCCATTACATGTCATACAGATTAACCAGACTGAATCTTGATAGTCTGGTGATACTCGAGAAGAAAACAATACTTTTTTATGAAAAATTTAATAAAACATCATTATCAACGTGTATATAATGACTTCAGTGATGATGATAACTTCCAGAACTTCCGTGACCATGTCCACCACGTCCACTCTTGGCACTAGCAGCGGCAACAGCGAGTCCAGCTTCAGCAGCATTCGACTGTGCGATTTGCGCAGCTTCAGCTGCTCTCAGAGCCGATAGTTCTGTCTGTTGCAGATCTGCCGCAGCGGTCTGAATTTGGCTCAAGATCTGACCTATGCGTTGCTTAGCTTGTTCTACCATATTTTGTTGTGCTGCAGCGGCGTTGCCAGCTTCAGCTGCTGCTTGTTCAGCGTGGGAGGCTCCACTCTGGGAGGCAGCTAAGGCGGCGGTGAGGGTATTGACCTGTTCTTGAGCATCTTGGGATGCTTGTTGGGTGGCTGCAGCGACTGCTCCGAGTTGTTGGTACTGTGCGATTTCGGCTTGGACCTGTTGTTGAGCATCTAGTGCTTGTCTTCTGAGGTTCTGAACGATGGCCTGCTTGCCTACCAGAGCGGCTTGAGCGGTTTGAGCAGCCTACGAAAATAAAATTTTAATACATCACCAAATTATGGAAGGAGGGGAACTCTGAGTATTCAAGAGGATTGCATCTGCAATTATTATGATGAAGGTAGGGTAAAATGTTAGTTGTATCGTCTGAAGAGTCAATTAAAAAATATCCAGTATGTTTCCATTACTATCGAAATGATTTTCAAAAAGCAACCCGTATTTCAGTTAATACATCATAAACTTGAACAACAACCATCGAATTATGACCAACATTCAGTAGAGGAGAAAAAAAGTCATTAAATATGAAACGAATTTTTACCAATCCCTCTGCTAGAAAAATGATCTAAGTATGATATGGATTTTCAACTGAACGATAAAAAATAAGACCATTCCAAGTATACTTCATATCAATTCATGAGGGTATGCTGAAAAACTTTTACCTATATTCGTGGATAATGACGCGATAATTTTGAAAAAAATCAAAGTATGGAAGAACAGATAACGCATTTCACTGATAAGCGAAAATGTATGTCCAGTGTGTGGTAGGTAAAATTGGAACTTCTGGAATGAATTTATCGAATCTATTGGGAACACTATTCCACACCAGAACAAAATACTGTCTGTCAACGCGGATTTTCTCTAACCAAGTTAACATCATTGAAGTTTCAGTTCAGTGATTGAATCTGCTGAAATGAGTCCATCCGTTAATCTGCTGTCGCCTTTTCCCAAAGAAAACCCTCAGAAGGCGACACTTGCGCAAGCTATTTGTAGTACGAGTCGGACGATACGCAGTGAACATAGATTGTTCTCTACTGTTGGGATCGAACCAAAGTTCATATAGCGGTTGATTAAATGAGTAATTAACCATCACTCTCGTCGAGTAATTGAACTACCATCTCAGATTGGGAGGAACGAAATGAGATGAAAAAATGATATAATGAAAATTATATGACTGGACTATCGAATATGTGAGGAAATGTCCAGTTGCAAAATGTCCTTATCAATACAAATTTGAGAAATTCCTTGCCAAGGATAATGTGAAAGTTGACTGAAAATAGTGTGAAATGTCCATCGATACCTTATGAAGACTAGTGTTACGTATTGGTTTTTCAGATAAACGATCCATACAGAATATAGTTGTTTAGACATGAGTGTATGTGAATACGTGATACCAGTCAAGTTTTCACTTCCGAACAAAATGAGCTCTCGGTGAGATTTCCATTTGCAGCTAGACTAGTGGAAGATGTGGATATTCTGAAATTTCACTTCATAATATTCATTTTTTTGAAACAGAAATTTCTCTACTCGTTTCAGTCATCAGACTCATTCTGCTAAAAATTTTGTTTGGAATTTCACACATTCCTTGTTACTGGTCACGAATTTGGAGTCTCTGTCGCAAATTGATTAAAAGAGCTGATTTTACCAACAAAAACTCATTTTCTTATATTTTTTTTACAAAACACTCCAGTCAAGTTTTCACTTCCGAACAAAATGAGCTCTCGGTGAGATTTCCATTTGCAGCTAGACTAGTGGAAGATGTGGATATTCTGAAATTTAATTTCAAAATATTCATTTTCTTGAAACAGAAATGTCTCTACTCGTTACACTCATCAGACTCATTCTGCTCAAAAATTTTGTTTGGAATTTCACACATTCCTTGTTACTGGTCACGAATTTGGAGTCTCTGTCGCATATTGATTAGAAGAGCTGATTTTACCAACAAAAACTCATTTTCTTATATTTTTTTTACAAAACACAAACAAATAACTCTATGCTGAAAGAATAACTAGAGCTTTTCATCCATTGACTCAACTCTTGAGATGTCTACCGCACTTGTTGACGAAATTTTAGGCATAAAACCCGTAGACCACGGCTAAAAAATCCGAAAAATAACTTCGGCAGATAGGAATTTTGTTAAATACGCTGAGATAAGTCAAAAGTGTAGCTTACAAAATGTTATTTCCAATTACTCTGTTTTTCGAAAAAATAAAGAAATTTGAGTAATGTATTATCATGAACTTTTGTTTATAAAATATGATGATGAATCATCAATTGCGAAACTTATTTGATTAAAATTGAGAGAGAATATTTTTAGGAGAGAAAAAGGTTTTGGCTTTCTACTTCTTCATCTGATAACAAAAATGTGGAAGTCTTCCAAGAAACGGGAGGAAGCAATCAATTCCAGAAATTAACTCTGTACAAAGATGTGTTATTTGATATTTTGCACTTGGCATTTGTTTATGTAGTAGATACTCTGACTTCTGGGAACTCAATAATTGGGTACTTCATGAAATTGAATGAAAGAACCAGGTCTCTACACTCAAATCCTTTTAGAAAACTGAGAGTACTTGATACTGATACTGAATGATCATTGACTTCCGTTCGGTATCAATAACAGCTCTAGCTAGTACCAGTAGGAACTTCAGTACCTGGATTTCGAATACTAGAATTTTCCAAAATGATTTTGGTATCCGGAGTATAGCATTCAACGTCAGGCCAAAGAGAAAAGAAACAACCGCTGTTAACAAATTGAGTTTGGGAATAAAGGGAGTAATAAAAACCACTTCTATTCACTGAATACTCTTTTGAACTTCTTTTCTCACAACTAGTAATGAAGGGGGTAGTCGGGGTGGGCCAATACAGACTGAAAAAGTAACCGAGTTACATGAGATTAGGTCAAATGGAAATTTCGGAATATACTGAGAAACTATTATCACAATATGAAACTATTATGTTCTGGGACCACATCATACTAAATTATGCGTTCAACACACACTACGTGGTTGAAGTCTCATACCGCGAAGAGTGGAGAACAAGCTCGGCAGGAAGTCCTAGTATATATAGAATCTACCAACAGGAACTTCCGAACTCTGACGATTGTTGAAGCTACATCTGTCATTCAGGTGTCATTCATTGAGTCGGTTTCACCAAATCACCATGTATGGATACAGCATTCATCAACACGTGCAAATAATAAAATGCGCTCTACTCATTTTACGACTGTCATAATCGTTCTACGGACGGGACTATTCGCAATGTGATGTATGTATTTGAGTCCACTGGTTCAATGAACGATCGACCAACACCCGTACGTCGACGAAACGCAAGATCTGCCGAAAACATCACGACTGTCTGTGAGTGTTTGCAGCAGAATCCGAGGTGGTGGATTGCGCGTCTCTCAAAAGAACTTGGCCTTTCATAGACCACTTAGGCCTGCACTCGTATACAATTTAACTTACCCAGGAATTAAAGGTAAACACCAAGGTAAATACCACAGGTAACGACGTGTATTTGCTGAATGGGATATGCTCTACGCAGAGAAGCTGTAGCAGACATACATACAATGGATCAATAGGTCTTTCAAACGAATAAAAAAAATTATCGGTGTCTCACATACACTTTGTTTTATCCTTATTCATACATAGAAAGTGCTTAATGAAAGACCCTATAGATGGGTCGAAAACCGCACATGAAACGGGAGCTGGAGTTCACTATGCGGAAATTAATCTTCATTTCAGTTACTCACTCGGTCAGTACATTTCAGTCTTCCAGGCAGAAGTTTATACAATCTAGCAATGAGCAAGAAACCCAGAAGTGACTACGAGACTGGTCTGGAAATGCCGTGAAAAACTGAGGAAACACTAGATGCCAGACCACTGAGGCATTGCAGATAACGAAAGTGCTGATGGGTGTGCCAGCCACGGATCATCAGCCTAGAAGCAGCTGCGGGGTACCAAAACCTTTGGTAACCATATTGAAGATAGGGTACATAACAAACATGAAGGCTGTTGCAAAATACATACGTGAATACACACGGAAAAACTTTTATGAAGACACTGTCCAAGCAAATAATCGAAGAACTGCTCGGCTCAGAAAAATTACAAGGCTGTTCAGTGAACTATGTCTGTTGGGAGAACTTCTGAAAAAAAAAGGGCTGTGCAACGAAGACCTCAACTGCAGGCAATGAAACAACAGAATTGAAACAAGCTCTTCATATTCAATGCAAATGTTAGGCACTGGCTGACAGAAGGCAAATATGTTTTGGACAACACAAATTATGTCCAGAAGAATACGACACCCATTAGGCAAGGGCCTTGTACAAACTGGCGAGGACTACGAGATTGTTGGAATGAGTGTCATGAAAAATATGAAAGGAAACCGTAATGAATCCATTTTTCTGGAGATTCTGGGAAAATATACGAATCAGATGGCTTCTGAGAGTTAGAAAAAAATATCACTCAAAGTAGTCAAAATAGCAAGTATAGTACTTTAGCAGTTTCTCGGAACTGAGAACTGCAGTTTTTATTCTCTGGAATTACTTACCCCGAAGGCTGTGCTGGCCAGAGTACTCTTGATTCCGAAGGCTGCTTGGCTTCCTGCAGTTTGTTGATTCAGAACGGCGTTATTGGCTTGCTGGGCGGAGCTATGAGCTAGACTGGAGAGTTCAGCGCCGTTGTTGCCTTTTCCAGTGTCGGACAGAAGGCCTTCGTCATATTCTCCGCCGAATCCAGCCGATTCGTATCCATGTTCAACTATGATGGCTTGGGTAGCTTGCGAGTGTTTGGGAACTACGATATTCACATGTTTCGAGAGTCCAGCTGACACTAATGCGACTGGAAAACAGAACAAAGTTATTTCGATTGGAGGTGCTATGATTCATAATATTTCAGACAGATAGAGTAGTTCTGCAGAAGGTGTTATTTTTTCATTTCGTGACTGAAAAGGACTGAAAATTCTCTCCTCTTTGAAGACTCGTTTTTTTATCAGAGATGTTGCACTGTTTGTTAAGCTCTAATACATACCAACTTGTTAGTTATATAGGGGTCATTCCATTCATAATGGAATTGAAAAAAGACTGTTTGAAGTATAAAGTGAAAGAGAAAATATCATTTCCGTGAAATCAAATGGTAAAAATTTTGAAAATGTTTGTTCCAGATCGACTTCCCATTTGGATAAATCTTCTATTTGTGATCTGCACATCTTTGTGAAGAGTATACGAGACAGTAGCCGTTATGGTTGACGTGAGTGGTTTATTCCACTCGCCGACTGTCAGGTGAAACGACGATTCGAGCCGAGACCCTGGACAATCGATTTTCACCACCTATCGTCCAACCAGTATTTCAAAGTGCTAGGAATCGCACGTTGAAAGGTGGGACCTTGTTAATCCTTCGCTCACACAAGTTTCTACTCCTGAATGTTGTCGTTCGAAGGGTTGCGACTACTTGTTAACGGAAAACAGATTTGGACACACAGCTTTCATTAATGTTCTTAATCATCTCCCTTCTTCCTTCAGAAGTTTGCCATTTTCTATAATATGAAATGGAAGTAAAGTAGAAAGTCGAATGATTGTTTTTTTCAAAAACTAGTTTTGCTTGTTCAATTATCATTTGTCACTTTCAGATTACATTTTTTGAAGAAGTATTCATATAGAGAAGGATAAAATTGAGCCTCAAATTCAAGTCTGGTGATTAGTTGATGGTAGTCATTCATAGATCAATAACTCTACTATGTTTTTGGATATTATTATCAGATATGCAACACTGATATACATACACAATATCTCCAAAACAACCCATATTCATGTTCTGAAAATTGTTAGTGAAAATTTCGAGATTTCGAGGAAATGGTCCAGTTGTTACTCCTAGAAAAACTCCAACACTTTTCGCAGTCTTTGATAGAATTTCTCTTTTAGAATTCGTTTTTTAATATGAAACTGTGCATTTCAACTTCTGTTCTAAGTCTGCTTTCCATCGACTCTATAATTTAGGGCCATTGATAAATAATGTATTCACTAAATTTTTTGACAGTCGACTTCTTTGCAAACTTTCGTGAAGGTTTCGAAGTAGATCAATTTGAGTAGAAGACATCATCTAATGATTCTTTGAATTGCATCTTGAAAATATAGAACACTAGATCTTGGACTAATGTTGAGCAGGAAATTTTATTTGGTAATCACATTTCCAATGTTAATTCAAAAATGAACTACATCATAATTCTCTAGTTCCTTCTTAAGTGCAAAATAATTATAGTCAACACTCAATGTAAAAGTGCATGACGTTAAAAAAAATAACATTCAAGAGCCTTCAGTTATTAGTTTTGGAATGAGTTGAAGCATTATTTCATTGCAAAACAATGTAGACAACTAAACAAATATCTTTTCAGTGTTTGCCAAATATCTGCTATTTCATCATGTTCACAGTTAATATACTAACTGTTAATTTAGTATTAAATGATGCATAATCTAATATACCATATTTCTGTACTGCCATTATTGAAGAAGAAGCAAATCAATAAAATTGCCCATCGGGAAACGCAATAAAAAATCGTGTGATAATTTTTGATTAGTGTAATGATTATACTTTTTGAAACCTTCAAAATTATTCCATACCTCTTGCGAATCATTCTTTTCAGAATGAAATTAGGAGTTACGATAATGAATAGAAAAATGTACTCACCTCCGCAAACTGCAAATACGAAAATCCTGAACATGTTTTCTGAAAATAAAAAATAATTATTCGAATAAGAAGAGAATTAAAAATAATTTCAATTGTTTTGAATCATCAGATATATGTTATAATTTATCTGAGTGAATGTAACAAGAAAATAAATAATTTCAATCATGTGGAAGTTGGGAATATATTTGGTGAGGTTATGTGATGTTCATTACGTTCATTGCGTCGTTATTGCAATAATGGATTACTCATTGGGAAATGGATTACCTCCACAACTGCATACTACATCAATTATTTTTATAGTATCGGAATTACTGAATCATATTCATACTCAGAGTTACAGCTCAGGAAGAGACATCTTTTGTTTTCGAAATTTAAAATTGAATCAACCTCTGATGGTTAGTAGATGAAATATTGTACTTTACATATGGAGTGAAGTTTTACAGTTGTACTTAACTGCAAAGGACGTCATATCGCAAGAATATAAATGAGGCCGAGTTGATATTCTGAAGGAAGATATTCAAATTCAATGGAAGTTTAAAATCTTGCTGCAACTTCATTCTTCAAGGACGAATATGTTTGTTGATATAAAAATTGAAATATTTTATCTCGTTTATATGTGTATATATCTTGAAAAATCCAACAAAGTTATTTTACGACAGATACACAACATCACTAAAAACTATAATAAAATAATTTTCATGAGAAACCAACTCACTATTTCACAAACAACTGCAAGAAGTTGAAATGATGAAAGGCTGAAAGCTACTGTGTGAATTTTTACTCATCCCTCCGTTATTTATACAAGATCCCTGGGGTGGGGCCGTCGAATAATGATTGAAACAAATTCATAGATTGTAGTATCAACAAAAGTAAAATAGTTTACAGAGCGTAAAGAGTCCATAAGTGGCGAACTTAATGGTACCCAGAGGCGTAACGAATAGAGAGCTGTATCTCCTAAGTTGTCCGTGAAAACACAGGAAGATTATTACTTCTTGGATATTGCGTGAAAATCGAAAATTGTAGAAATCAGTCAATCTAAATCGCCCAACTTTCGACATCTTCACTTCATATGAATCTCTGCTTCATAGAGAAAATTTCGTCAATAATATTTTCAAATCCCGAAAGTTATTCATTGAGTTGGCAAGAAGAGTATTATTTTGCGAAATAGTTTAATGTATAAGTTTGAAAATGTCCTTATAGGACGAAACTGCAATAACGTTAGTTACAAATGAAAGTGGTAAAAAAACACAGAAAGTTTCAATTCTCTTTTCTTCAAAGAAGTAACATTTAGGCACAAACTTGAAAAAAAAACCCTTTTAAAACCACTATTTTCAAATAATAATGATAATAATTTTATTAATCGTTTTCGGTACTTATTGTACATATGGTAAGCCTATAATTGTAATACATACAGTGTGTAACAACGAAAACTCAACAGAGCCGTTTTTGAATATGAAAAGTAAGATTTTTAAAAAAAGCTCGGGCACGTCAATTTCAAATTAAAGGGGGACACCTTTCAAACTAATCAGATTTTCTTGTAGTACGCACCCCCTCGGAGGGGTGCGTCCGACGACCCTTATTTAGATAGGGGAAGTAGGTCGAGTGGCACCTTGTTTTAAAGGTCTTTCGAATACTTTTACATCTCTGTTGAAAGAAAATTTTTGTAACGATTAGTTTTCAAGATGATTTGAAGATTTAAAGGTATTTGTATTGAGTTCAACTTTTTTTAAAATAAATCAAATTGTTTTTAAGGTACAATTTACGTTCAGAACTTTCATAAAAACAAATTTTTGCTTTTTATGACAACCTGCTAATACGTGTCCTTTTGATTTCGTAAAAAAGTAAGAATTATTTGTTTATTACGAGGAGATTTTTTCGGGGGATGGGGTTGGTTACCACCCTTACATTTTAGGTAAATTGAGTGACACCTTCTTATGAATGTTTCCTTTTCACGTGGATATTTTATGCTTCTGATAAAAAAGTGAATCATACTGAAAACTTACCTACACAACGAATACAACCTGCGGATTTCTTCGAATGCTGATGACACAGAAAAGTTTAAGAAACTGTTTTAGGGTTAATAAATCCCAATAATTGTTTTTAAAACACACACAAAAAAGTAACACCTAATGAGGGAAACTCACATAGGAAATTCAGAGTAAATGTTCAAAATGTGCGCCATTTTGCTTCATGCAACAATAAAGATTTTGTTCGAATTTTGCTCTTACATTATTCAACATCTCAGGAGTTATAACTCGGCATTCATCAATAATTCTACGACGCAATTCAGCCAAATTGGCTGTCTGTGTATCATAAACTTTGGACTTTAAATATACCCACAAAAAGTAGTCCAGTGGTGTTAAATCTGGTGATCGTGCTGGCCATTCAATTGGACCTCTTCTGCCAATCCATTGTCCTTCAAAATGATTATTCAAAAAATTTCGAACCTGCTGGGCATAATGGGGTGGTTCACCGTCTTGTTGAAAATGGATAAATTCATCTTGACATCTTGGATCCTGTTCAATTATTTCAACTATACGAGGTTGTATTGCCTCTTCAAGAAGTTGTAAATAAGAATCACCGGGTAAATTTCCATCAATGAAAAATGGACCTATAATAGGATTGTCTAATATTCCAGCCCAGACATTCAACTTTTGGGGATGTTGGGTATGTATTTCTGCGTATTAAATTAAGTTTTCATGAAACCAATAACGGCAATTGTGACGGTTCACGCAACCATTTAAATAAAATGAGCTTTCGTCCGAAAAACAGATGTTATAAAGCAGCTCGGGATTTTGCATTAATCTCTCACTCAAGCCCTCACAAAACTCCTGTCTTCGGTCAAAATCATCCTCATTGAGATCATGAACAAGTTTAATTTTGTAAGGATGGAATTTTGTGGTTTTTAAGGATTCTCCATGCGCTCATATGGCTTATTCCGGCCATTGCTGATAAACTTCTGGTATTCAACCTGGGATTGGCGATGACTTCACCAATCACTCCAACCGCATTATCGTCATTCACAACCCTTCTCTGAACATTTCTTTTCTTATTTAAAACCGAACCTGTCTCCCTGAATTTTGTGACCAAATGCAGAACGTGATTTCTGCTTAGGTGTTTACCAGGGTTTTGCTCGTTAAATGAAACTGATGTTCTATTAGCATTTTGGTCGTTGCCAAAAAATAAAGCAATAACTGAAACCCTTTCAGCAGTAGTGTAAGGCATTTTTAAACAAATAACAATACACAATCCGTTTAAACAAAACAATCGAACGATGTACTGATGAAAACTGGAAGAAGAGGAGTCGGTATTGATTTCAAAAAGGGATTTTATTTAACAAAAAACTGATAAGAAGAACTGCTCGAAAATGTTTTTATTTCGGCATACAAGTTACCGAGTGGTCTGTCTAATGTATTATTAACATGGCAATTTTAACTTCAAATTATCTCGAAAACTAATCGTTACAAAAATTTTCTTTTAACAGAGTTGTGAAGGNTTTTTTCAAAATATCCTCCATTATATTTGGGGTAGAAAACACGTTTTCACCGCAAACACAGCTTGATAACAAAGTTCTGTTTATAAACAAGTAACATAGCAACAACCTAGCAACAAGAAAACTCTACTATAATCAACGGTACCTGATTCAAATATACCGGGAAGGTAATGAATTGGTACATTTTTCCGTTTCAAAAATGAACAAAATTTTATTGAAATCGGTCAGAAATAAAATTATCTATGTACCACGGGAATTAATGAGCCTTAATAACCTCAGGCAATTGCTGTCCCTCGGGCCAGAGGCCCTCGGGACGCAAACTTTGCCATCGGTAATTAAGGCCCTCCTAATTCCCTTGATACATAAATAACTATTATTCACCAAAGTAAAAAAGAAAATACACAAAGGGTTTGGTAAAATGCCGGAGCGGAATTCAGGAGACAAGCGAGTGCAACACGCCGAATTCTGCTCTTCCATTCAACTCCTTTATAATATACAAAACTTGAAGTAAAAAGAGAGAAAACAATAAAAGGAATAAAAGAGGGGTTATTCATAATGCTTACAAAATTGAATTTTTGCATTTTATGCGAGCCTGTAGCTTGAAAAGTGGCAGTTTCTATTTTTTCAGGTATGTGGGAAGACTATTGTAATGAGTGAAGATAGAAAAACTGAACGATCTCTCGAACAGTGCTGTGCTGTGGTGGGGGGCATTTATTGTATTTTTGTGTTGGATATCCACTTCATGTTCATTTTCACGAAATCGAACTTTATTATATAGATACTGCGGTGATTTGTTGATAATTATATTGTGGAATAAGGTTAATGATTGCATTAAGAAACGATTTTTCATTGACAGCCATTGCGACTGATAAAGCTTATGAGAAATATGCTGGAATTTACGGATGCCATAGATGTAGCGTAAACAGGAATTTTGGACTTTTTGTATCCTGTACATATCTAAACTATCCAAACAGGGAAAATATACAGATGTACAGTATGTAAACTGTGAAAGGATGAGAGTCTGGCATAAATTGGTTTTTGTCTGAGTATTCAGGTATGCTCGGTGAGGGTAAATCAATCTCAAGTTCGCGTAAGCTCTCTGGATATATGGTGAAACTTGCTTTTTGAACCTGAAATTATTATCCAACATCAAGCCAAGAGGTACTTGAGGTAAATACCTTTGGCATAATAACTTGGGACCAAACATAAGGACCTGCGTTTTATTAGGATTGAGTTGCAGTTCGTATTTCACAAAAGAATCATACATGTTTTCAAGTTCAGTATTGATGTCAGCAACAGCTTCATTCACCAATTCTGGTTTAAACGATACATAAAGTTGGGTATCATCAGCGTAAGCATGATACTTACAGAGATTGATCTCATTCAGCGTATTTGAGGTATATGAACTAAAAAGCAAAGGCTCAAATATAGATCCTTGCGGAACACCGCGCATTCATCTCACCGATTCAGATAGTTCGCCTTCGAGTTTCACCATTTCATGTCTGTTTGTGAAGTATTCTTGCATCATCTTAACGGCTGTTT